CCCCACGGAATCGGAGAGGGCTGGCCAGAAAACCACTTAATCTTGTTGGTTATAACCGATAGGAATACATTTATTGTATTTAATATAAAATGTATTCCTGTCGGTTATAACTGACAGGAATTCTTAAAAAGAATTTTGAATCCAACGGCTAGCTGGCGCCAGTTACCGTTGGATTCAAAAATTATTATTATTATTTTTTAGGTTTTTGGGGCTTTTTTTTTTTTTTTTAAAAATTCTAAAAAAATCTATTTTTTTCCTATAAATACCTAAACCATTCATTTACCATTCCTCACAAAATTTTCACCATTCCTACACCATTTCAATTCTCATATTTTCCTTTCTCTTTCAAAAATCTATCCTTCAATTTTTTCAATAACTTTCAAATGACCTCGTCTGCAATGAAAGGTAGGGTTTGGACCCAAAAAGAAGATGAAGCTCTTTGCAAGGCTTATAGATGGGTGTCAGAAGATAGTGTGAGGGGGAATTGTCAAACAAATGACGGTGTTTGGACTCGTGTGTCCAAAAAATACTTAGAGTTCTATGAAGGCACCACTCCAGTGAATATTCGAAACCACGAGAGTTGTCTTCAAGATGGAAGAAACATCTTCAGCCAAGTTTGAACAAATGGCATCAAGCATTGTTAGCAGCCGCAAGTAGACATGAAAACGGCGCTAATTACTACGACGAAGTAAGTGTTTTCACAATTTATTTTAAATATTTAATTATATTACATTTAATTTCATAAATTAATTTCCTTTATTTTTTTTTCTAGGTACACCAAGCAGAGGAATTGTATATGGAGAGCAGCTCAAAACCTTTTTAGTTTCACAGTTGTTGGGAAATTTGTAAACGGTGGGTGTTATTTAAAGATCCACCATAGAGAGCTCCTACGCCGGTGTTCGGAACTATATCCTCAACTGCAGATATGAATGAAGATGGATTTCCAACCATTCAACAAACAGGGGTAGAAAATCTGTCTTCGGGTGAAGGTTCCATAACTAGGGCTATGAGACGAAACAAGGTGCGAAGGTTGAAGGAAAAGTGTAAGGCAAGTGATGATTACGCCGCTCAACATGAAGTGGCGGCCTCATTGCGATTATTGGCAGAGCAAAATGCCCTTGAGGCAGAAGAAAGGAAATGTAGGCATGAAGAACAGGCCAAACAAATACAAGAAGAGATGGATGATATGAATATGGAAAGGAACACTTCGAATTACACTCTAATGAGTAAGGCCTATTTTGATACGAAAAAAAAAAGAAATTATGAGCCGACGGCAGTTGTTTACCTCTGACTATACTCCTACGATGGCAGATGATGAAGATGATGTTGATTATAGATATTAAATTTAGGGTAAAGTACAAAAAACTACCTCAACTATTGGTGTCACGACACTTTCATACATCATTTTTTAAAATTGACAATGTGATACCTCATCTTACGAATTTGTGCCAATGTCATACCTCCGTTAGTTTTTCTGTTAATTTCTTAGTTAAGTGCTGATGTGGCTAGATTTTTTATTAAAAAATTAATTAAATATTAAAAAAAAACAAAAAACAAAATACAAAAAACAAAAAAAAACACTTCAACCCGTGTCCCCTTCCCCAAAAACCCATATTCCCTTCTCTCCCACCCAACCCTCTCTCTTTCTCTCTCTCTCTCTCTCTCTCTCGCCTTTCTCTGTTCTCTCTCCATGCATCCCAAAACCCAGAAACCCTTCCCACCCGACCTGTAATGCTCCACCCTAACTTGCCCCTTCTGCAGGCTAGGGCACACCAACACCAGCGACCCCTTCACCACTGCCATTTGCTGCACCAACATCCCACCATCCCTACTCGCCACCGCCATCAGCCACAAACCCACTTCTCCAAGCTCTCGTTATGAAGCTCTGCCTCAGCGCCTCGCTCGACCAGGTCTCCTCGACCCAATCGCCGACGACCTGCCCGTTTCGAACTCGCCAACTAGCGAAGGCATCCCGAGATTTACCACTAGCTCTCGCAGCAGTCCTCGATCTCCGCCATTAAAGTAGAGCTCCAGCACCTGATTCTATCGATTCTCGACGACCCGGTCGTCAGTCGAGTCTTCGCCGAAGCGGGTTTTCGGAGCTTCGAAATCAAGCTTGCAATTTTATGCCCTTTTCCTCAGATTGTCAGATACCCGCGCTCCAGAGGCCACCATCCTCTCTTTCTCTGCAACTTAGCTGATTGCCCAGACACGGGTCATCCGACCCGAACCATTTTCACTGACGAGGACCAAAATTCGAGGAGAATAAGAGAGGATCTCAGGAGAAAAAAGGGCAAAACTGGTGGCGGTGTTGGTGGTAGCGGGTTGGGGTGGTGGGTTTGGGTGTTGTAGCAGGTGGTGTTGGGGGGGGGAGGGAGATATGTTGGGGCTGGTGGGATCTAGGTTTAGGGTGGTTCTAGTTTTGGGTTGGGGGAGGACGGAAGAGGGAAGAAAGGGTGAGGGGGATAAGGGTGGTCCTATGCAAAAAAAAATAAAAAGAAATGATTTTTTTTTTTAGTTTTTAATATTTAATTAATTTTAAAAAAAAATAATTAAATTTTTAATAAAAAATATGGCCACATCAGCACTTAACTAAGAAATTAACAGAAAAACTGACGGAGGTCTGATATTGGCACAAATTCGAAAGATGTGGTATGACATTGTCAATTTTAAAAGATGAGGTATGAAAGTGGCATGACACCAATAGTTGAGGTAGTTTTTTGTACTTTACCCTTAAATTTAAGTTATTGTGGTTTTTAAATTTAAGTTAATGTTGTTTTCAAATTTAATTTGTAGTTTTTAAATTTAATTTGTCGTTTTTAAATTGTAGTTGTAGTTTTTAAATTTAAGTTGTTGTAGTTTTTAAATTTAAATAATATATTATGTTTGGCCATATGGCCCTCGATTGGAGACGGTTTTTTGTGACAGAGCTAAAACGAGCCATCTGGCCCTTTGGCCCTCAGTTGGAGATGGAGACAAATATAACCATGTACTGTTCATTAAAATATTAATATCTTGGAGGGCCAGAGGGTTAAAACAAGCCCTATGGCCAACCATCGGTTGGAGATGACCTTACTATTCATAGAGTGCACCAGCTTGTCCAATTCTTGTAATTAGTGTGCGTGTGTGTGTATATATATATTGCAAAATTTTATAATTAGAACCTATCATTTTGTTTATTTTCGTCTAAAGATCATTTGCATAGGATGTTAATCAAATCAAAGATCGTCATCTCTCAACTAAATTAGCGGAATTGGTCATTGAAACTCTTTTTTCTTAGTGTTATTTGATACATATAGATGCATTTATGTAGAAATGATACTTGAATAACGACAAAGTAAATGTAGGGTTCATGTTATAAAATTGTACGGTAAAATACGTTACTCACAAGTGGTGAGTAGGATAGTGCACCATATAGAAGTGGATGCAAGTGTTGTCCTTATAATATTGTAAAGATACACTATGTGTCAAGTATTCCCGGTTTGGGGGGAGGCAGTAGATGCGGGTGGAATCTCTTTGCCCCATATAGAAGTGGATGCAAGTATTGTCCTTATAATCCGTAATCAAAATAGATGGAATTGGATTGAGGGAGAATTGAATTGAGAATAATTGAAATCCAGATTTCCATTAAAGCTTTTTACTACAGTTTTTTGGAATCAGAGTATAAATGGTCTTGTTTGAATATAAGTTGTCTACTAATTCACTTGAATCGGAATGAAAATTTGTATGATTACTAGAATGCCCTTTATTATAAATAAATATTTTATAAGAACTTATAGGAAATCAAGTCAATTGATATAAAATTAAAAATAAAAAACTAACCAACCAAACCCCAACCCAACCGTTCTCTCTATCTTTGCCTCAATCATCTTTCAACAATTTGAAATTCACGGTGGGTTTAAGGCCTATGGGAAGTGCTGGTTGTGGTGATGTAATTTCTTTGAAGTTTAGTTTACGGGGTATATCATGTTGATTTGAATGTGAGGAGATTGGTTTTTAGCATTGTGTTAAAAAGAAATAACCAAAATGGGTTCTTCTTCAGCTTTCGCTTGATCTTGTTTTCTGGTTGTCGTTGTTGTCTAGGAAGATGATGGTGGGTATGTGGCCTTTGGAAGACAGGAATGGGGCGGTAGTGAGGGAGAAGCAGACAGACTAACGCTGGGCACGAGAGCTGGTTTTATCATTGGAATTTCAGCAATTATGTGCGGGCATTATGGGTATGAAAAATGGATTTCCCCATTCCCTCATTCTTCTGGAACTCAAATACCACTTACTATCAAGGGATCCAATTCCTCCAAAGTGAGGAATTGAATTCCAAAATTTGTGTGGGTCCCACCATATTTTTGATTCCTTAAAATTTAGTAAACACAGGAATGGTTCTTAATCGGAATACGATTCCATGTTTTGATTCCCATTACGTATACGTAAACGCGCTCTGTGTCAAGCATTCCCGGTTTGGGGGGAGGCAGGAGATGCGGGTGGAATCTCTTTGCCCCCTCGCCTTTGTTATAGGTCAATCTCACCTCTGACCTCTCTCCATCTCTCACGTTACATAAATGCTCATGAGATATCAATAATTTGTTTAAGAGAGAGATAATTGCTAGACATAAAAGGTTAATTACGTTTGAAGTTTAAATTATTAACTTAATTCTTATTTCACAATAAATAAATGAAAGGTTATTGAGTTTTTTTTTTTTTTTTGGACCTATTGCATGATTTAAAAAGGAATGTAATGCTATATCAAGGGTGAGCGAAAACAGGCTCCATATATTGAACGAAGAAACACAACTATTACTTTTGAAGTGCTTTGTAAATGTCACACGTGATATATAATGGTGTGTCTATATCTCATCACGTGATTTTTTTAATTAATCTTCTTGAAAGTGCAAACTTAAGCAATAAAACTTCGTCCTTAATTCATGGCCGTAGCCACTCTATTCAAATCATTCATCCAAACAACTAATTTTAAGTATGGAAGTGCAAAACTTGGGAATGCACGATTTTAGTAATGCCTAATCATATTGGCGATCCAGTTTTTCATAATTTGATTATAGTTACACTTATGGTGACATTTGGTGGTTGTGCATAATAGATCAACATGTATAATTAACATTTGAAACGAGAGGTAGGCTTGATTAAGGCGCGGCCTTAAGATTATTGACGAGCGCAAGCGCATTGTGAGTAAGCTTCTCCACCTCTTGCGCCCGATTGGACACGTCGGTCTTCACTGGCCCTTCCGCCACACCCTTGAAGCCTTCTATACAAGTATCCTCGTCGGTAAGCGCAGCGCTCAACCATGTCAACACGTTACTGATCTGGAGCTGGAATGACGGGGTGCCAGGGGCGTCGAGCTCTTTCATCTGCTTAAGTGAGTCGCCAAAGCTATCGACGACGTTGCCTAAGACCTCTGTGCAGCTGCTAAGGGCGTCTGCTGTGCGCGGGTCTGGTTGGTGGGGGATTTTAGAGACGTAGTCGGCCGTGTTCTTAGCACTGGTTAGGCCGGCGCTGATGGCATCCTTCGCGGCCTGGATATTGTCATTAGATGGAGCTCCGATGGTAGAGATAGGGTGGGAGAGGAAGAAGAAGAGGAAGAGGAGAGAGAGGAGAAACTGGGTCGACATTTGTTTGGTGTTGTTCATGATCATTGAATGAGAATTCTGCTTCTTGATCAGTCTGCTTTCATGTGTTTTGGGTGGGGCATTTATGTAGCTGGAGAAGATATGTATTAGGGTTTATTTGTGGAAACTCGAGAAGACTAGTATTAGGGTTGATTTGTGGAAACTCGAATCTCGTCTGAAATTTCGACCAAAAAAAAAAAATCTCGTCTGAAAAAGAATTAATTAATTGTTTTCCTCTTAAAAATTTCCAATACTCTTTAGAAATCATTTCCAAATTCCTTTTTTTTTTTTTTGAACAAATCTTTTTCAAATTCTTTGAATGGGACTATCGTTGAAGAAAAAAAATGCAGTGCAAATGGTTAGTTATAATGGTTGTGGATATGATTTGTAGCCAAATTAATTAGACCAGTAAACTATTTCCTCTCAAGAAATTATTAAGTGTATTTAATAAACGACATGTGGGATTGCTTGGAGCCGGAGTGACTATTAACACTTTGGTTATTGATGTAAACATTTCTGTTCGTATCTAATATTATTATCATTTGACAAAAAAGAAAAAAAGAAAAAAAAAGAACGACATGCTGCTAAATAAATTGTTTTACAAGTGGAAATGGCATTCCACAATTTTACCCTATCGATAAAAAAAATACAATTAATACTAAAAATGAAAAATAAAAAGAAAGTGAAGAATGTCCAGCAACAAGTGCCCAGTTCGAATCTCCCTCGTTATAGTTAATAATTTAAATTAATGTACAACAACTAGTCAAAATAAAAGTCAACCGAATTAAGTCTGAACAAAGAAATAGAGCATACAAGAGAAAGAAAGGAAGCATATAAGAGCTATTATTTTTAAGAGATCCGTGGAGGTCACTCGTATATATGCAACGGTGTGTGTATGTCTCAAATGACCATTATTTTTTCCAATAATATTTTTATTATCATCACAATATAACATAATATTGTACCACATCATTTGACAGTTGAGATACACTTCCACATCAATTAAAATTAAAAATAAGTCTTGTGGCAGTTGAGGTTGATAATTACATAAGTAAAAAATAATAACTTAGTTTTTCATTAATAAAAAAAAGTTGAAAAGGTCAATCAAACCCTAAATTTTGGATTCCCTCGTTGTAGCTTCCTCCCTTTCCCCTCTCCATCATCAATCATCTTCTTCCCAAGATCTGTTATTTCTTTTCCTCCAGATTGTTGTCCATGTCCATAGAATTATCTTCAGACTCAGGGTGATTTTTTTTTTTTAAATGATTTGAAAATTTTGAATTTTAATGATAAGGATAAAATAAATGGTAAAGTGAATTGTAATTTTTTAATGTAAAAATGTGATTTTTTGTTAAAGTAAACAGTACCATAAGTTTTTCGTTAAAGTTTTTTTTTTTTTTTTTTTTTTTTGGATTACTCCATTCATTCTTACGGATGAATTATTCAGAGACTTTGAATCGATGTGCTGATTGACAATATTAGACCCCCTTCTAAACCATATAATCTAAGCGTGCATAAGAGTGATACCAATAGTCATCAACAATTTTGTTGTCGGAGAGGACGGGGTGGACCACCAATAGACAGGAGGTTGAGAAGCAGTGTGAAGGTGGAGAGGGGAGGGGGAGGAGGCCAAAGGGAGGGAGGCAAGAAAACGTAAAATTAATTTAGGATTTGATGAACTTCTGAAAAATTAATCTTTTTTGTTGGAATAAAAGAATTATTCATTAAGAATTGAGATTTTGGTGTGATTATCCACCTCATTTCGCCACAAGATTCTTTTTAATTGACATGACTTTTTCACGTTGTCACATAATATGGTATGAAATTTTGATATCAATTGGTAAGAGTATCGTTATTCTTATATTTTTATATGAAAATAATACTCATTTATATCTGCAAGTGGCTCTTTACCACGATGATAAAAAGGTGTTTGAGTTTTTGCATGATGTTATGAGTTCAAATCTTGTCAATGACTAATCTAACATGTAATTTAATAAAATCTATCCAGTCGATGACTAATCTAACTAGGGGTGGATTTTTTTGCCAAATTGCCATACCAACCGTGCCATACCGATTTTGTGCCAAATTTTTTGTGCCAACGGTAATGGTACGGTATTGTACCGTACCGAAAGTTCGTGGTACGGTATTGGTAATGGATACCATTACCACGGTATTACCATACCGTACCGAAAATATAATATAATATATAATTTATATAAATTATATAATATATAATTATAATATAACACATATTTATAAATTATAATATATTTTCTTTGTTTGTTAAATGGTTTTCAACTTTAATTCTTCTTGATACTAATATGTTTTATTCGTTTGTAATATAGGCTTGACACAAACTCAATCTTCTACAAGTTCAATGTCTCCTCCAAAAGCTTCGACATCTTAAACTTAAAGAATTGATCAATGAATTTTACCTTTTGAAGTTTAGTTTCAATTTTCCTTTGGTTTGAAACTTTAACTTCTATTTGGATTGTTAACTTCTATTTGTTTTGGTTTGTAACTTCTATTTGGATTGTAAGCTTAATTTTCATTTTGATGCATAATTTGAATTATTGTGTGTGTGAATTATGAATGATGAATAATAGATGAATTTAGGCTACAATTTAAATTACTTCTTTATGTTTCCATTCTTTGTTTTAGGCTTATAATTTTCAAGTAATTCATCAACATTTCATGCGGCTGTAAATCCATTTGAAGGTGGAAATCCAAAATCCATTTGGGCACTTGTTATGAGAATCTTCTTCCGTCTATGCATTTGGTTTATATATCTTTGTCTTATTACAGAGGCAAAAAATATGAAATGTTGAACAAAGCAAAAACAGATTTTGTCTCAAAATAAAGTGACAATTACCATTGCCATACCATGCCAACCGAACATTTGGCAATACCAAACTTCGGTATACCGAAAGTTTGGTATGGTAATGGTAATAGATTTTACCAAACCGAAAATTTGGTACGGTAATTGGTACGAGAGTTTTGGTACGGTAACCGTACCGAACCCACCCCTAAATCTAACAAAATCTATTGTATGAAAAAAAAAAAAAACAAACAAACAAACTGTGTGAGCATGATGGAAACTGGGTTTCTGGAAAAAAAATTGATGTTAAAATTTTGAGGTGTATAACACTGTACATTAAATGAACACAAGGAGAAACCTTGTCAATTATATCAGCATCATTAACGAATGAAAGGGAGGAGCAACTGCCACGCAGGGCCCCTCCATCCACACCATATCTCATCTGCTCTGCACATGTGAGATAAACAGTGAGTCAACTCGTTCAGTTAGTAAATATTACAACAACAAAAATGAATAACTACATTTACTCGAATTTGAATCATCTTCTCGTTATTTTGATTGTAAAGTAAAATATTGTTTGTATGATGGAAAAACTACGACCACAGCAGTTAGAAACCAAAATATATTACAAAAACATTAACAAACCCAGAAGAAGGGTCCAAATATACAAAAAGTAACAGAAATTAACTGAAGTTTGTGTTGTTCCCACTGAGCGACACAGTTAAGCATGTAAATACATACAGACAGAGGGTAATGTGTGGTTTAAACCTCTACTAATCTTCATTAGTTAATTCACTAATAAACAAAACTACTAAAACCAGAGATGGAGGCTCGTTTTTTATCAGGGCGCGCCCTTCTCAGCAACCCTATTAACGAGAGCGAGGGCATTGCTGGTAACCTTCTTCACATTCTCCACCCGGTTCGACACGTCGGTCTTGAGAGGGCCATCCTCCACGTCATCAAACCCGTCCGTACAGGTCTCCTCGTCGGTAAGCGCGGCGCTCATCCACGTCTGGACGTTGCTCATCTGGAACCGGAACGACGACGACCCACCACCGGAGGCTGCGGTGGAAATGAGCTGGCGCATCTGCTTGAGGGAGCCACGAATCTCGTCGACAGCGTCGCCGAAGTTGGAGAAGCAGTCGTGGAGGGCGGAGGCGGCGCGCGAGTCGGCACCGTAGTCGGCTTGACGTGAGATGTTGGAGACGTAGGCGGCCATGCTGCGTGCCCGGGCGAGGCTGACGCCGATGGCGACCTTGGCGAGCTGAGCCGGGTTGTCTTGGACGGCGCTGGCGAAGGGGGAAAGGGAGGTGTAGCAGAGGTCAGGGTACAGAGTGACGCCGCAGCTTGTACGGATGAATTCCGCGTCGTTGGATGGGGATCCGATGGTGGGGATTGGGTGCAAGAGGAGGAAGAAGAGGAAGGTGAGGAAGAGTTGGGGGAGGAGGAAGTGGGTGGACATGCATTTGGTGTTCATGGTGTAGGGGAGTAGAGAGTATTATTGAACGAGAAGTGAGGACAGAACACACTGCTTCTTGTGCTCCATATGATGTTTGGGTTGGGGGTTTAAGTAGTACAAGTAGGCTCCTTTTCTCAGATAAAATATTATATAGAGTGCCAATTTATTTGTTGGAATATACGGCCTATGTTTTTTTTGTATGAGAGTTTTAACGAAAAATTTCTGGTATTAGACATTATATATTTCTTTAAACAAAATTCCATATTTATATATTAAAGTGAGACTGAAATATCAAATGAGACGTAAAAGCAAAGGCCACCCATCTCGCGTGGGCGTCTGAATTGCGGCTGGTGGGGGGTGGTGCTTGCACCGAGATTTAACGGCGAGCCGTTGCCCACAAGACGACATCAACGGCTAAGATGCGACGGAAGCATCCACAGGACCACAATGCATAATGATCGTGATAATTGGACGGCTGGCGGCGTGGCATTTTATTCCTGAGGAGGGTGAGTCTCTTGACTTGAGAGTTGAAAGCTTGTTTGGCCTTCCATTCGCCCCACTAATACTAGTATTGCCAAGCGTGCAACTTTGTAGTATTATAGTGGAGGGTCCAAATTCCAAATACTCCATTACTAGTTCCACAACGCAACGTATGAATACTGGCATTTGAGCTTTGTAGTATCTTTTGACTTGTGTATAGCAAGAAGCATGCAAAGTTTTTATAGAATTTTTGTTGTTTTTTAATGATAGCGTTACCAGAATGCTTATAATCAAAAGTGTTTTATACAAAATATTCTGAAACGGATAATTGATGTGCAGTTTTCCTGACTCTTTCAGATATAGAAATGATTAGGTTCCCCACTAATAAAAGCAAAACGATATGTGAATATATAAATTGTTA